CTTGTGCTTGGGATTGCCCCGAACCTGAGTTTTCCTATGATTCTGACACTATTAAAAATTAGAAGTAAAAGTCTGTCACATCTAAACACACGAAGAATTAGCGAGAGGAGTTCAGTAGTCAGCACTCCATATTGCTCCTTGCAGCTCTGCCTACTAACAGCTCAACACTCCAGACAGCTTACTGAGCCTCACAGAAAATCAGGCTGAGCTGAACAACAGGTATGCCACTGCTTTATCTCCGATACTGGGTGTTTGAAAATGTTACAGATCCCCACTCATACTCCATGATCAGAACACATTCTTAGGTTTAAGGAAGCATGGTATTTTTCTGTGCATGTGAAGGGTGTGGGTTTGGTTCAAAAAACATACAGAAGACTCTGGTAGTGAAATCCATATGAACGTGCAGCTGTGTAGAGTCACAAACCAGTGAATATCTGACCTTCAGCGCTGGTCCTTTTTCACTTGCTCTCTCGCTAGCTCTCTTCCCTTCCAGACCAAGCTGAACAAACAGCTCCAGCAAGTTCATCAGTAGTTCATCCACAAGATGTTCTCCTTGAATGTTCGCAGCGATATTAGCCAGGGCATTAATGACAGCTAAGGAACAGTGTCTGAGAAGAAACAACATTGATGAACAAGCAACCCCTCAAAGTTCTACATTCTCACTTTCTTCATAACGCTGACTGTAACTCTTCTATGCTGAGATTGCACTGGGTCAGACAGAAAAGGCCCTTTCGGTTACTCACACACTACATGACAAGATACCCAGACTATCAAAGTCGGTGATAATCGTTAATGATAACAGGGACTAAAATGCATACTTACAGGCTAAGAATTGAAGTGTCAGTGGTTTGCATTTAGTCCCTAACAAGTACTGGGACCACATTTGAAAAAAGACCAAACAAAACCACACACACAAAACCCAAATGGAACTTGATTCGCTTTTCTAGGCTAAGAGATCGATTCCTCTAGTTACAGGTAATGTAAGTCATCAGGGTCAACTATCGCTTACAAACATTAGCTCCTGACAGAGGAAAATCATCAAATCAATAGTACTTGTAGTGAAAAACACCTTCAGGAGTCTCTACACTATGAAGTGCTACTATTTTTAAACTGATGTATTACTTTTTAGCATCAAAGAAAAAAGAACAGTACTATTTATAACCTCTTCAGAAAACTTGTACTGTGAAAATCCCTGATGTAGCATAAGGACATCTGACACAGTATTCATACACGTAAGGGACACAGCTGAGTGTTACCTGTATCCATGATCCTTATAATCTTTTGTGGCAGAGTAAACAACTGAGCTTGCTTTAACACTGATTTGCTGAAACAGGTTCCACACCTCCTGGTAAATATATTGCTGTAAAAAAACCCAAACACCAAATCGCTAAGTTGAGCTCATTGAGTACCATCTCCCCACAGAAACACCCTGTAACATACGTCAAGTATTACAAAGCTCTTCAGACAGGTCGCAGCCTGAGCAACAGTTTCAGCTTCCATAAAGCGCATCGTGGAAGTGCCTTCATTAGTGTTTTTAATTGCCCAAATTATACAAAATTTATTAAGTTCTTCAACTCTGCCTTCCTGATGGAAAACTTCCTTTCAGGCTTGCGAGTTCTCGCAATTAATCGCTCGCTCAGAGGCACAAATTACATTCAGAAAAGGTAACTCAGTTAATCCTTGTGTGACTGAAAAAGGCAATCCATACTTTTAAATGTATGGACCTACAAGACTTTGAAAGTTAATTGCTGATATGACAAAAGATAACAAGCACCTATTAAGGACATACGCGAAGTTGACAAACTTCTTAATAATTCCTGAAAACATTGACTTTGGTGCTTTCTTATAGTTTGTGGGTTTTTTTTAACTTTTATAATTTTCTGTGGGGATGAATCTTTACAGGGACAGCATCTTACACATGATTAATTAGCTTTTGTTTTCTGATGCCCCAGAGACATGAGGATTGTACAAGCACACATCTATGATGAAGAAAAGAAAAACCTTAAAGAACTTCTGCAAATGCAGTCTCTAAAATACGTTTCCTTTTAACTAAAGGAACAGGATCATGAATGGTCCACTCTTGGCCAGTCGTTTCCTTACATTTCCAGTGATGACCAAGCAGCCCAGCTGATCAATGATGAGCACGTCAAGGTGAGAAGGTGGCTGGCAAAACTTCTGCTGTAAGATCTGTAGGATGGGTTCCATCATTTTTGGGGTGTCCCTAAGTGCCACAGCAATGTGTCCTAGAGCACGAATTGTGTGGTCAGGAATCAAATGAGCCTCCCTGTTACAAAAAAAAAAGAACCCCAAAACCATACATGTAGCTGTCCAACAGTTACCAAGACCTCCAAGCATGGTTATATTTCACGTCAGAAAGAGTTCATATAATAAATTTAAACATCACTAACAGCTTTAGTATTGCCAGTCTATATACCCATCCGCTCCCAACATTAACATTAGAGATACACTTGCACAAGGTGGTTTTCAAAATAAAAATAGATAAGAAATCCCCACAAACACACTGTCCAAGAAACCCACAGTAATCCATGAACAAGCTCTTCTAGTAACAACCGTGAAAAGAGGTGAAAGCGAGCTGCAAAACATTAAGACATGACAGTCAGAACAGCTACAACACAACCGCCCCTTGGAAGCTGCTTGGTTGTTGAGTCTCTTAAAGATGAAGCAACTCACATGCCACAAGTGCCAAGCTGTGTCAAGCCATAAAGGATAGCTGAAGCCTGAAGGGTACAGCAGAGAGCACCACCCAGTCTAGAACTCAAAACTGGCTAACACTCACCACAGATTTGCTGATTCAATCAGATAAAAATTAATCCATGCCCCTCAGCAAGAAAACAAGGGCTCAGCTCTGCAAAGATCTGCATGGGAAGATCTTCACCCTGCATACAAGCTCACTAATCTTGACGACAATTCTAAAATAACGCTGCCCGTACGTATATCTTAGAATAAGCTTCAGATTCACTGAGTGAAGGAAAAATGGGTTTGATGACTACAGACTTACTTATCACTCTCTTGAGAGATGTACAGACGGTTAGATAAACTGGCAAGGAAGGCCTCAACAATCACCGAATCTATAGTCAAGCCAGCTTTCAAGCACCTGGAATAACAAAGAACAGAAATCTTGCTAGAACAGCCATAGAAAAAACAAAGCACGAATTACACACTTCACTTTTTACTACTGTAAATACACACTAGGTGTAAGGGAAAAAGGTTTATACTGAAGTATAAGAACGGATTGCCTAGGAATGCTGCAGATGTATTTTAAAAAATGCTGCTTTCTCCAGTGACAATGAAGATGGGGACACACAGTAAGGTAACTTCAGAATCCACTGCTTCAGATAATTCAATCCCCTGTCTCTAGTCACCAACTACTTCTCTGCCCTCCAGCTCTCTGTGGCTGACTAGAAAGGAAGAATAATCATTACACTGCCCACACCTGAGTGCCTAACAACCCTCCTGTTACAGGAGGCTCCCTCAACATGAGAGTCTGAGCAAACCCCAAAAACCCCGCCGAGTACCCAAATGGTGGCTAGCATGAACTACAGATGTGGGAAGCAAAACAGGGAGACTGAATTATTATTTTACAATTAGGACCCGAACAAGAGATGTCTAAAGGAAAACGAAGTCACGGTCAGAAAAGGCAAAAAGCCTTCCCAGCAGCACTTCTAAACCGTCACAGGCCTTTCTCGCTAGGGAAATACAACACGCGTTACAACGCGGTGCAAGTCTCTCCCACCTGCAGATGTTGTCTATGGCAATGTCGCGCAGCTGCTCGTACATGGACGGTTGGCTTTTCTTGCCAGGCATTACATTTAGAGTGGACTCGGAATGCTCGTTGGTTACACTGATCTTGATGTCGTTACCACCTACTAAGAGAAGAGTACGGAAATCAACACCACTCCAACGAGCTTTTTTCCCCACTTCTACCAGAATTGGATTTGCATTCCTCCTCTCCACCTCCAAAAATATCACAAATGCATCTCCATTTCCCCCTCCAGCTGGATCACCACAGAATAACCAAAAGCATCACAACGTTGGAAAACAGTCACTAGCGCATTCTTTGGAATGTGGCCTTTTGTCCTTTACCTGTGTGATACTGGCTATGATACTTGTAAAGTTTCACAAGCACTGGAGAAGGTATCACAAGAAAGTCTCGCAAGGACGGATTGACAGAATGAACCACAACAGGGAACCTCTCACACAAACGACCTAGACCCTAAAAAAGGAAAAAAAAAAAAAAAAGACAGCAGCATAGTTTTAGAACATAACAGCACAATTTTATTTTCAATTGTAAGCTTGCAACTTCAGCTCAAAACGAAATAACCAAACCAAACCATATACAATTCTGAGAGAATCAGTTTTTAGCAGAAGGTTCAGACATTTCAAGCCTCTAATTCTTTTTGGTTAACCTGTCGTGCATCATGCCAGCCAAGCCTTGCTGCTCTTTCTGCGTGATTTCACAGGAGTTACATGAAATAAACTGCACTCTCACAAGATAAAGTTACTGGGCAAGATCCAACGCGTAAAGAATCCTGATCACGTACTACGTGGTGGAAAACACCACACTGGAACAGCTACGAATCAGTGCCCAATAAGAAAACATAAAAATTAGAATAACCAAGTCTTAGCCTTAAAACTCAGAGATCTGCCAGTCCCAGTTTTTAACTGTTTATGTAATGGACTAAGAAGCTAAATATTTCAGAAATTAAATACTGGTTAAAAAAACCTCATGAACATGATGCTTCAGGAAGTAGATGAGGTAAGAAAACTTTCAAAGCAGTACACTGCTGCAGTTCTGGTTTCCACACCAAACCTTTAAAATCCAAACATAGAACACTGATGGAAAGTAATAAAAACAGCAGATAAAAGGTGTTCTTCTAGCAACCTGTAAACCCCCCAAACTCTCACTCACTGATACGGTAATGTCCAACACCATAAAGACAGACCTGCAAGCAGCAAATCAGCAGTGGCAAGTGAGCAATGATGACTTTGCTTGAGGTTTTTGACTGCAACTTCTCTGATAACTTGATGCACAGGTTTTCTGCACCTTAACCAAAAAATCCAACAGAAAAACGTATGTTTACCAGATTTGTTATTTGGCCACACGCTACTAAATGCTTACTGGAATTTCTAAAACAACACAGAAAATCTATCAGCTTCACTGTCCTCATACTACAACACCTCAGAGAGATTTAGTATTTCTTCTGCAAAACCAGTTTTGGAAATGTAGCATCTGCATCGAACAGCTCTGTCAAACCCCGACTGAAAGAATGACAGTACCTACAAGTTGATTTTGAGTGTAGTTCACATTTGACCGAAATTATGTATTGCAAGGTCCAAAGGAAAAAATCCTTCACATACTCAGAGGATGTGTAAGAATTACACAAGAAAGAAAATTGAGAAAAGGTGAGAAAGAGCTTCCCAATCCTGTTAGCAATGAAGAAGAAACATTTTCTTTAAAAGAATGACTGAGAAACATTTCAGACACTAAGAGCAGTAACTGAAAACAAAGTAAACCAGACAAGAAGCGGCTGCACGTGAGGCAGCAGTCATATCATCTCTTGTAGATAAGACAACAGGATGTTTCTGTTTCCATTTCTATGAAGAGATGTCTACCTACCTAGCCCACTGATCAGACAGCTTTTGGAAGGAAGTTTTACTCTTGCATTCCAACAGCAAAGAGCATCCCACTGAAATTTATTTCATATTCCTCTTTGCATCCTCTACTCTCAGAGAACTTACAAGTATTTCTACACCTCGAAACAAACGCCAGACATTCGAGAGACCAAAGAGCATTTTTTACCTTGCTCATCTTTCACAGCCCACACCATGAGATCCACGCAGGCAGCGTTGGCCTGACAACGCAGTTTTAAAGGACTCAGTTCATTGTGCAGTCGCTCCACATCGTGGAGGATTTTCTGAAGTTCTGACTGACTGCTGTTGAATTGCTCCAGCACAAAATCATGGATTTCCTTCACAAATGAGTTGGGAAGGTCTAAAGAAATAAAAATAGCATTATGTTAGAAGGATGGGAGCCAGCGTATCAGAATGACAGCATATATGAAGTTCATTGTTACGTTATAAATGAAATTATTTCGCAAAGTTTATGTCCTGTCTGAAAGATAAATTTCACAGCAAAGTCCACCAATGAACAGAACTGAGATGACAGCTATTAATCCTTTCAGTGGTGCTCAAAGTATTTTTTTCCTATTTCCACAGTACCTTTTTTACATGGAAACATTTCAAAGTATCCATTTTATAGCATGTGTAGCGTTCCCAGGAAATGCAAACCCCAGTGTTCAAGCACTCAACACAATGCAGACAACACTTTCGATCCCAAACATCATGAAGGATAAACTAGAAAAATACAAATACTATACCTTTCATATAGTATAACGTGTCTCTCAGCATTTTAAACTGAGCAAGATAAAGAGGGTCACTGAATGTTTTATAATAGAGATCAGTATTAGCACTCGTCTGAAAGAGAAAAAAAGCAAACTGCTAGATTCAAAATGAAATATTTTTTGTTATACAGAGCAGTCCTTTCCAAGGCAGGAACAGAAAATGACCGACCCATGAGAAAAGGCAATGTTACTCTAAAATGCAATAAGGACCTCAGTCTACAGTAAACCAGTTCTGGTCAACCCATACTGTAGGTTAGTAGGATAAACAGAGCTAAGGTAAGGAACGGTTCATTTTTAAGAGAATAACTATTTCTTTCTATGTTAGTGAAAACCACTCTCCCAGGATGAACCTGCCCATTTTTCCAATCCAAAGCTCGATTTAAACCACTGAAAGAACAGTTCAAACAGGAAATTATTATCGTTTTGCAAAGAGAAGGCATACCTTTCACAGATAAAAGACTAATTATGCAAGTATTAAGATGAAAAAATTAAGTTTTCAAGTCATTAGAAAAGGAATTTAAAAACATACCTCTGCAACTTCAGCCACAACTGCATCTAAGGTCTTTAGCAGGGAATCCCCAACGATCTGCTTTACCTACGGATGGAGAAAAAAAGAAGAATGTTTCCTGTTAATGACTCAAGACAGGAAGACAACTTAATTTTGCCCATGCAGAGATAACACAAGCCACTTGACTGCAAAGCATCAAATGAAAACAGGGCTACAACAATTTTTGGCTGCAACAGGAATAAATATATTGGAGCGCCTGTGTGCTGTTCCAAAATAACAGTGCAGGAAGTTGAGGGGGCCAGTAGTTTCTGTCACTTGCGTAAAACCCTTCTAGAAAAGGGTCTCATTCTCACGGCAAAAACCAATCTTCTATTTCAGCAACTAGCAGTACTAAGTTGCCTCAGATCAAGTGATCTGCAAAACTCAAACAGGAAGAAGTTGACATAAACTTATTTGATTTTCCAAATTCTTCACGGTTCATGAGCACTTTTTAGAAATACAATCGAAGCGTGACATTAAATGCCATGAAAATAGCATTACACAAAGCTGGAGAGACAAACACCACCTTTTTAGTTGCAATTATAAAAGCTTGAACTTAACCTGCATCTGTTTCTAGCACGAGTATCCAGAACGCAGTCTCACTGCGCCCTCCGTAAGAACCCATCACATACCATGTTCAACAGCTGACGGAGCATTTCCAGAGGGATGTTAAACTCTTTGTTGTTAATGCCGTTGAAGAGAGGAGAAACCGAAAAGCTGGAGCTGATTGTACAGAAGTAATAATCAGGATCCAGTGCACTCCCATCAGGAAGATACGAACCTGATCAGAAAAAATAACAGAGAGAAGGGTTTGCGGAGAGAGAGGATTATATAAACTTTGTTTAATGATAATACTTAGTTAGTATTAAGGAGTTATTCCCAACACAGATAAACTTTTTAGCTTGCAAGGTATCAAGAGGCACATTTCGGCTGATCTGGTAAATTAGGACAGAAAACTAGGATGGAAAAATACAGTTGTCCGTTTTAAGTTTATGATCACAATGGAAATACTCATTTCAACGACATGTGTCCACGTCAGCGACCCTGCTGATAAGAACTTTTCCCATACTACTGATGTACATTTTTCTGTAAGCATTTGCAAACACCAGTTTGCTCATAAACAGAGGAGCAAAGAACAGGTTAAGTCAAAACTATCTCGTATCGTTTTCCCCTGTATTAGATCAAGTGAATATGTGGTGCAGCTTTCATCTTAGAAGTGGCATCCATTAACCACTGCAACTTGAAGGCAAAGAGAAATCAAATTATTTTTCAGATTCAAGTACTCTATTAAGCAAACAACTTGCTCAGCATTCTGCTTTTAGCACTGCTTCCACTTCAGAAATCACATCTCTGCTTTTTTTAAGTACTCAGCTGCTGGTGCTAACGGACTGGTCTTGTGATTAATAAGCTTTCAAACACCACTATTTATTGACACAAAAAAAGAAGCTTCCAGTCCTTTTTTCTAACCCTTGGCCAGACTAAAAACACTAAAACCCATCATCTTCAGAAAGTAAAAGTATCACAACCTATGTCATCGGGAATAAGACAAGGGCTGCCTGTATCTGAAATATCTAGTAAAAGTGAGTACTGAAAATAAAATCCTGATCAGAATAATGGCAACTCTGCTAGAGTCACAATTAAACCGATTCTGAAATGTTTACAAAGTTGTCCACAACCCATCTGTAATTTCGATTCAGATTATTTTTGTTCTACTACTATAGCCTCTCACTCGCCTGCAGCCTCTTTTTTTTTTAATTCAAAACATGAAGACCGCAAAATTGAAGAAGTATGGGTTGGTTCAACAGGGTAGACAGAAGACACACGGGTCTCTTCCTGCTTGGCAACTTAAGAATGATATTTGAATTAACCTGCAATCCCACGATATGACTGAGGAAGACAGAGGCCTCTAAAAATAGTAACAGGAAGGCAAAAGAAAAGTAATGGAAAAGAAATTAATTTAAGACAGGGCTCAAGAGAGAAGAATGACTCGAAAACAGAGAACACCCAAACTGTTAAAACCCTCAAAGGGCCAGACAAAAACCAGAGACACCAGAACACCTCGGGTGCAGAGGGAGCCCCACTCAATTAATGAAAGACAGTTCATTTTAAAGCCCTGCTTTGACACAAAACTCACATCTAGAGCTCTGCCAAAACCTAGTGGTTAAGAGCTTGGATATTAATTTGTGAAAACTGTTCACATTTCTGCCCTTTACGATTCAGTAACTAATACACATGAGTGAGCATGAGACTTCTGTGTCTCCTCCGTTATTTCTCCTTTCACCAAATTACTAGGTTTTACACAATGACCCACATCACATTTACTTCAAAGGGAGCAGTTGTTTTCTATTTATACAACGTGCCACAAAGATCTCCTAATTCCAGACCCTAGTCCCAACAGTTTCACTGCCTACTGAAGTACAGCATTAACACTTGTTTCTCAAAGTGACTCAGCCTAATCTCTTGAAATATTTTTGGCCTGGCTGGTTTAAGCTCTTCAGTACCAGGCACAGCCTCGCAGTAAGGAAATCATGTCTCTCAGCAGCCTGGCAGAAACAACTGAGCCTGCAAACTACCAGTGTTAATAATAACATTCTACTGTCTTTATACCCCAAAATTTTTCAGAATCCTAGCAGGCATATGCCAGAGAATCACTGCAAGAATTCTAGAGAGCAGAGAAAGGGGTCAAAAAGATTGTGGTTTTCAATTTTCTATCAATAGCAACAAAACCCTCAAATCACACACTGTTTCATTGCACAATGATTTACCTTCAAAGTAATGAATTGCAGATCCTCCAGGAGAGCTGGGAGGGGGAATTCCACGCTCAGGACTAACCTGAAACATCAGTCAAAAGCCCTAATTTAAAAACCATTTGGAAAACACAGAAAAATCTTCCAGAGAATGGTTCACACACTTTATAATGAAACACAGCTTCAAGCAAAACTAACAGGAACTACATATTGTCAGGCCTAACAGCTACAATCCAACCAAAAAAGGGAAGTTAAAAAAGCGAGTTCAGTGCTTCTGACTAAAGGGAAGAGATGAGAATGATGACTCCTGTCCTGTGTGAAACTATGCTAATAACATCTCTCGTTTCAAAACTGGCACCTGAATCCATTCTTCCCCCAAGCCACCGAACATCCACAGCTCCTCCTGAAACCAGTGAGCTCGTGTACCCTTGGCACTTCTGAAATCTTCAGCCATTAACTGCCAGCTTCCCAAATTCACAGGCATGTGTTACAATGCTTTTTCATGAGAATAACACAAGGAAGAGTATTTGCCAATCACTCCACGTGAAGACATTAGTACAGTCATTAGTTTAACTCTCACAGATTGTTCTGCAGCTCAGAAACCACACAATTATTTTGAAACTCAGTTGCAGAACCAAAATAAACATCTCTGTGTCTGGTCAAAGGATGTGTGTTAAGGGACTGCCCAAATATCCAGGCTTAATGATATCTTAACTCCACCAAGGCCACGACTCCAACACAGAGCAAGCCACACAAACCTGGGAGATGCTAGATACACTGCTAGCCTTTCTCTTCAGTGTTCCTTCTTGGCAAACAGTGAGTAGAGAACTGGGAAGAATCGATCTGAAATCATTGAAGGATCGTCGGCGAATTCCTTCAAGCTCTTCTGGAACTCTCAGGGAATGAGGGGAAATTTTGGGGAAAAGCTTGGAAAGTAGAGCCTCCTCTGAATTGCTGTAGCGACCAAAGGCTCGAGAAATTCCTATCAGGCAGGGCACGGCATACTTGCATAAATATTCTGGGAAAGAAAACCACACAAAACAGTATATTAACAGTAACTTAGAACTTCCTTGTCACGGTTTTGCTACAACTTCAACTAAACTGTTTCAGCCTAATGTGCTTTTACAAAGACTTATTTGTGCAAGTCAAGGAAAAACCATAAAGGTATCGTCAACTCAGACACTTTTCTCCTGCTTCTGTATTTACCAGCCAGCCACAAACAGAATAAGTAAGTGCTAAGGGAAGTCATAGGAAAAAGCTGCTCCCTTTCCAGGGGTGATCCTGATAATCAGAAAACACAAGAGAGGTTCAGAGGACAGGAGCTACAAATATAGCAACAATTTTAATAGTACCTTTATCATGCATTTGCGGGGTCTGGCACATTCCCAACAGGAACTGCATTACTTGCAGAATTGCATCCAAAATCTAAAGTAATCAAGACAGACATATAAAAGTATCTTACAGGAAAGTGGTATCACTACCTTCTACTAGATCACTACAGCAAACGAAACTTGCAAATAGTCATGTCAGAACCTCTGTAAACAAGACTCTTTCAATGCTGTGTGACTGAAAAAGTATATTGCCCTCACTCAGCTTACAGCACCTCCTTTCTGAAGTCTGCAGTTAGCTGGCACGTACTGGCAGAGTAAGACTGAAGCAATCCTAACCTCAGAATCAAAACCTGAATTCTAAAACTCCGGGCTCGGCGACTGACACCCTTTGACACCCAGAAGTAACAGCAGACTTACGAGTATCTTCTGCTTACCTGACTATTAATTAACATAGCAAAATAATACAACAGTACACGTTAAAGCAATCAATCCTTTCACGAGAAAGGCAGCAGCTGTGGGAACTCTTGTCTAGACATCTTGCAGCAGTGGAGAACTGGGTACTGCCTCAGCATGAACTTAAACTCTACCTGCTCTCTGAGAGACGCATCCCTGTAAGCAACGTCTGATAACAGCGTTACCAAGCAGAAGCTGAAGTTTTCTGCCACTGGAAGCAAGCCTGCGGAGTAACAGAGAGAAAATAAGCCACTTAGGCATTGTGAGAGAGAACCAATATAGAAAGAGCAAGTAATAATAACGCAAGAAGACCTAAGTAATTCCCACGTCATACAGTTCTGAGATAGACTGCAGAAAAATAGAGTATTACATAGAGCATTTACAAGAACATTCTAACCATCCTAATTTCACCATGAAATCTTAAGAGAATAATTGTAGATAAAAACTTTCCCAGGCTTTCAGTAACTGAAAAATGTAATATTATGTAAAGCTATTCTTATATTAATTTTAAGAGATATTAAAGGAGCAAGAAATGAAGTGGTTTAAATGGCAACTAAGTACAGCAGCTAAAAGCAGAGCATGCAAATCTCAGGTTCCACTCTCCTGCTCTAACTACTACAGAGTCTTCTCCAATTTAGTAAAAAGATATATTGAGCATAGAATTACTTGGAAAGAGCAATTTATCTCAAAGCAGTCAAGCAAGAAAGCTGGGAGCTATTCAACTTCCTCTTTGCTTCTAAAATCAACATGAAAGGCTGTTAAGTGAGGAGCTAAGAACCAGCAGGACCCTTCACCACCCCTTGTACCGTGCCCTGAATAACCTTTGTTATTTCTGTTTCCTGGCTGGCATTCCATGCAAAAGACAAAAAAACCCAAACATCACCTCTGCTTTTGCGTGCGTTGCTTTCTTCTATCCACTGGACTTTGGGAAGACCCTTCAGAAGTCGGAGGAGGTAAGGAACCACATTATCTTTGTGCTAAAGGGGAAAATATTTAAAATGGAGAAGAAAAGCTGAACGTTATCATCTCAAGATATTTCCATCTCTCTAAAATACTACATGAACCACACACAGAACTCGCGGTGGAATGATTATTCCACCGGCTTCTTGACCACTGCAAAATCGATTTCAATGCAGGCAAATGAAAGTAAACCAAGTCAGTGCTACAAATTCAATCCTTTCCGACTAGGCGACAGTGCATTCTCCCTAAAAGTTGGAGAAAAAAGCTCCAGAACAGTAATTAACCCCAAACAATTTACTTATTTACAGCAAGGTCACAAAATAATTTTAAGGCAGCTAGAAATTCCAAGTGCCAGTCCCAAGTCGGTACACGTGAGCCATCCCATCACGGCCCTGTGCGAGTCATGTAACACATCTGTGTAACGCTTCAGCTTCCCGATCTGCGAGTTCGGGGACAGCACCTTCCCTCCTCAGGGAGCTGGCTTAACTCATATGAACTGCTGACTTTGAAAACACCACAAAAATGCCATGAAACACAAATACAGCTGCCTCATTTACACTTCATACTATAAAACAATGCAAACCGTTAATCACATAGATGCAAGCTACATCATAATAAATAGCTAGTAAGATAAAGGAAATTCAGGCCCGATGCAAACTCTAACAACATTAAACAACTTAAAGTGAGGTCTGATGACTTTGGACCTAGGACTGGGTATATCCTTCCTTTCCTCTGCATGAAACAACACCACGCCCAGAGGTGGAAGAGAAGAGAACCAGCCGGTCACGAACAGGCTGACAGACAGGACAGGGATGTTCATGTACAACGCAGCCGACGTGCGCTCTTTCGTCTCTTCCTCTCGGCTAGTGCCAGGCATGAAAAGGCCCATTACAAACCTGACATTCAGGAGTATATTGGAACGTACCTGTCATCCCTAAGTACTGGGGGAGAACATGCAATGACACAACTGGTTTGAGCAAATCCCCCTGAATAGCCTTTCCCTTCTCTCCTTAAGCTATGATGACCAAACACCAGGACTGCATTTTTGCTGTGGCAGTGCCATGACTATCACGCTTGTCAGTACTGTCCTTGTGCTCTCCTGCCTGCATCCATCTGTTATCTCTGGTCTTTTTATTTATTGTTTTGAAGAGGAGTACCAACTCCTTATTCACTGGACAACTAAATTTGAATTAATCCAAAATCTTTCAAGTTAAACAGTTAGCTAAGCAGGCAAAATACCTGGAGGTCAGATTCGATCAGAAAGATCCCTAAAGCAAGAACAGCATCTCTGCGGCGTTCATCTAACTGGAAAATCCCATGGAAATCCACTGGACACATACAGAGCAGTTTTTGTACCTGAAAAACAGCAGAGGGAAAGAACAATGGAACAAGACCGCAAGTACTAAAACAATGCAAGGGAACAAGAGTACACGTGTTAAAACTGACAAAAAAATCCACCAGCAGACCTCAGGAAAGCAAACAGCTCCCCTCTGCTCTTCGACAGGGCAGAGCCTGCCCACACCCTAGAGCTCACCAACCAACAGGCCTGGGTGGCACTACCACAACCTCAGAGCAGAGAAAGAAGCCGACGGCTGCCGTTTTCACGACTCATTTCAGACCTCCTGTCTTGGAAGAGGACAGCAGTCCTTCCACCTTCTGGAAGACAGATGGCCACATTACCCTCCTTTAGGCATTAATCTGAATGATTTTTTGATGAGTGACAGAAACTCGAAGAGAAAAATCTCAAGTAGATGTCAAACATTTTTACCACAACACATGTCAATGAAAAAGTTTCCTTCAACACCTGACCATGCTGGCTGTTTGCTTTCACATCTCAAGAGAATGTCTGAAACTTGTCAAAGCCTCACGTCTACAGAGCTCACTCCTGTGTCTCTGGTACAGCAAAACCTTCCTTCCACTAATTCACTGGGCGTTTTGGACATGCAAGAAATACGCAGCACTGGCGCGTGTATCATGTTTCCTCAATTCCTGCGAACAAAAACTGGGCGGATGGAGCTTTGGATACAGCTGCCACAGTGCCTTCTTCATATAAACACACCGTCACCGAGCTCAGTAGGACTTGTGCTCAAATCCTTTTAACGTAACGGGTCAAGTTCCCAGAACTACTATTTTCTCACTACTTACCTATTACTTCACTCCATACCCAGCAAACACACATTTAAAGACTGTATCAAATCTCCCAAATAATTTGTTTTCCTACAGAACTGTCAAGAAAGGGAAAATGCAACTGGCACATTGTCTTTCTATAAATGTTAATTAGAATTACCTAAAAAGGAGCGTCATCATAAATACCTATGTTTGAATCATAGAATGGTTTGGG